GAAATAAAAATAACTCAAAAATACTTGACATTTGCAAAAGAAATCCAACATTAATATAAAAATAAATCAAATTCATATATATATATATATATATATATATAACCACAAATTTAATCAAGTTAAAGCATGAAAATAAATTAACATAATATATGGAAAAAAATAAAAATATAAGTATGAAATTACCTCCAAAATGCTGCCCCATTGTTTACCAAAATAATTAACCTTGAAAATAAAAAATCAAACCATTAGTAGAAGCACCAAAAAATATATAGAAGATAATAGAAAATAAAGAGAAATTTACATTATTGAATAATAAAAGAAAATTAATGTAAAAGATTAACTTGATTTTTTCATGTCAAATTATCATATTCATATTCCATCTTTTGAACATATAGATCTATCTGGCTTTAGAAAGATAAAATAAAATAAAGTAAGAAAAGAAACAGACTTTGAGGATTCCAATTGAGAAAGTTGAGAGCATTTGAGTGTTAAGGAAAAAGAGAAGGGCTACGGCCTCAACTGTTAAGACACCGCCCCAACCCAATCTTCCAGAGTGGAAACAACTAAAAATGCGATTTTTATTTTTATTTTTAATCCTCTTGGTCATTGAGACTGAGATGAGAAAAGGGTTAAATAAATCGTAATTATCAAAACAATTTATAGGATGCAAATGAAAATAATAAAAGACACACAGATGCACACCTACCGATCTCTACCAAAAGAAAGAAAAAACCACACCTAGGGATTCTGATGTTGGGTTTGAACTTTGAACGCGTTTGTTACTTGGTAGTCGGCCTCAATTGAACCGAGAGTGGGTGTAAGTAAGGCTGAGCATCGGGTACAAGTATATCTGATATTTGTGGGTACTTGATTTTTTTAAATAAATATTTTACTTGTATTTATAAAGAGATAAGTAAGTATTGCGTATAAAAAATGTATACATGTTAAGTATTGGATAAGTATTGGGTATGAGGGTCAATACCCACATACCTGACCTGTATACCCACCTATATATTTAACTTGTATATCTGACTCATATACTTAATTTATATTCTAGTTTTATATGCTTAAGTTGTAATATAATGTTATAAAATTAAAATGTTTATGTTTTTTTCTTTTCTTTTGATAGTGAAGATTCAATTGAAGGAAAATTATGTGAATTTTTGTTTATATTTCTTTTATTATATATATACTTATATATGTGTAAGTATATATATTCATGTATTTTGTTTTATATATAAACTTGTATTATATATATGAACTTGTAATTGTATATTAATTTATGTATTTTTAATGTAAAATTTAATAAGTATATAAATATATCTATGGTATACCTACACCTAATAAATTGAGTAACGAATATAAATTTTAATATTCAGATAAGTATTAAGTATCAAAATCTTTTACATATCACCATTCAAGTTAAGTATGGACCAATACCTGACCATATCTACCCATGTTCACCCCTATAGTTCCACCATGAAAAAACACACCTACCGACTCTGATGTTGGGTTTGAACTAGGAATTGGGCCTATGGGTAGCCATTGATTACAAGCATTGAGCCGCTAACTAATCATTCATCAATCTTGATTGGTCCAAGTCCATCAAATCGTCATGCACTGCATGTATAATAAAATTGACAAAACTTGGATTTTTTGTGGGCCGTGATTTTTACTTATATATATATATATATATAAATTTAAGGATAATATATATATTTATTTACGTTTAAAGTTT